AATTGAGATAAATGAGTAAGGACATTCTTCTAAGATGGGAGCAATCAAACATCCCAAGCTTTTTTCTATGAAACAGAAAAAAGCACCTTAGTTCTTAGCTCAATACTATCATGCTAGTAGAATTCAAATGCCACTGTACATGTCACTCATCCACTTAAATAGATGTTGCCTAAAGAAAAAATAGTTGTATTTATTTCCACATAGACAAAATATGTATCTAGAAATTACATTTCACACTGATAAAATAATTTGCTAAAGCCAAGAGAAAAACAGAATTGTACTGTGCCAGTGTAGAATTTGTTCAGATACATCACCTTAGGTTCCTTTCTTTCTTTACAAAAATAAGTATAAACTAGTAATGAGTGACAAAGCTATTTACATATATTCATAAGGCTCAGGCCTTTAAGAAATTAAAATAACATCACATACAGATGTGATGTGTATTATGGATGACTGTTGTAAAAGATCATCTTTCCCAGTTTCAGATAATGACATTAAATCAAGCCTTTGCAATCAGAGTGAGGCAGTTTGACAATAGTAGCAATGATGAAATAACAGATTGTAAATGGTACCTCTTTACAGTCCCCACGGTTTGCAGTAAGCTTAATGGGGTCCTAAACTGACTGTGGACATTAAAAACAAATGGTCCCAGATTCAACACAGTGTGCCATGTATTGATATTCTAAGGGGTATACCTTTTAACTCTAACAATATTCAAAGTTTAATAGGAGAAAAAGTTATTTTTTTGCAATTAAGGAGTAATATGATTAGAATATAGTAGAGCAAATGATTATCAACCATATCAGATGCAGTATTAGATTGCTTGATTAATTTTGAGAAATTCTGTTTGGCCATCATAAAAGGACTTTGCTTGCCCATCCAAAACTGTCTAGCTGGTTATACAGACGACTTAATAATAATAATGCATAGCATATAGAGCACTTTGAATTGTGAAGGATCCCAAAGCACTTTACATGCTGGAGAGGAACCACTTCATCCACCACAGAAGTGCAGCAGATCACGTAGGGAAATTAGAGATTACCTCACCGGTTTAATGAATGGCCACTGCTCCAGTTCAAATACATATGCCAATCATAAAGCAAAGAAAAAAATGATCCTGTATATTGACAATGCATAACTGTAGGTGGATACAGAACAATCACCTTCTGAACCCAAAAATTAAAAGACCTTAATCACCCTTAAAGCGACACTAGTAGCAATGATGAAATAACAGATTGTAAATGGCACCTCTATTAGAGTCCCAACATTTTGCAGTAAGCTTAATGGGGTCCTAAACGGACTGAGGACATTAAAAATAAATGGTCCCAGATTCAACACTGTGCAATGTATTGATATTCCAAGGGGGATATCTTTAAACTCTAACAATTCCATTGTTAGAGCAATGTTGATCTTCCAGCATGAAGATCAAGCATAAACTGTACCAAACTGCAGGTTACATCACATTAGGTAATTGTATAGTCTCTGTATGCTGTAATACCATAATTCCAATAAAAAAACAGGTCTACTCAGTGAAGTGGTTACATGTAGTAATAATAAAATTATAATAATAACAAGGAATTGAATTAAAGAGGAACTTTGGGAGAGCAACACACTAGTAGTCAAGGCAATCATGTCTCATTCAAAGGAGAACCTCTCTGGCAGCACAGTTTCATAAATTACCATACTGGGAATATATCTGGAAATTCTGGTCCTGACAAAAGAGTGCCACCTACTGGTCCACCATTTGCAGCAGCAACTGGGATTTCCTTATCGATTGCATCCCAGCACTGACTACTGACCATCTTCAGTACTAAGATCCACAGATCAACATAGATTAATTAGGATCTGTACTGGTGTCACTGATGCAGTACCAACGGACACACTAAAAGATTAATGAGGAAACTCTGTATCACAAGGTGGCAACACTCTGCATTCATAAATTTAATCTTGTTATTCTGGTCTTGATTGTTAAATGCAATACACTTCCATACCTAGTGGGTTAGAATGTAGATAAATGTGTATTACAATGGGAAAATAAGATGAAGAAATAAAATACATTAATAAATAATGATTATTGAAAGAACACACCAAAACAGGGATGGCATGTCATGATTAACACTGCTTCCTCATTGCTCAAGGGTCCTAAATTTGATTCTGGCCAGCAGCTCCCACCTGGCATTATAGAGATGTTTTGGGGCATGCTATTATTACACAATGATATATTCTGATCATGTTTATACAGTCCATTTATTATTTTTGTTTTGCACCAGACTTCTTTTTCAACTAGGTATTACTACAAAGAACAGAATGCCGTTTAACTAGTACCAAATTCCAATGTTTAGATAACCCTACCACAAAATAAAAAAAACTGCATTTATAAATAAGTAGGATTAAAACACTCTTATTATATTGCTTAAATTCCAGAAAAGGTGTTAAGCTCTGCAACCATGGAAATGCATGACAATTGGATCTCAGCTTGAGTAATAATCATTTTCTATGCTTCCAGGTAGGATTCAACATTCCAGTCAGGAGTGAACAACTATTCAGATTATTAGTGATGAACGCCAACTGGCAGGATTCAAAAGTGCAGTCAGGAGAGGTCAGGTACACTCAGCTTACTCTGGTTATGCACTTAAACACTGATAAAGGTACTGAATGTTGTCTGCTATTATAGCTTGTTGATTAACATGCCCTTTGAGGTTCCTGAAAAAAAGTACAACTTTTTACCATCTGTTAAGCTAACCTTTAAATACACACAAACACCCACATCAACTAGCCACAAATTACCAATAAATGTTCCATGAATGGCAGTATATATTTAATCTACTTTCTGTTTTTTAGAAGTGAAGACAAGAATATAAACAGAAATTTACTAGATAGTAAAGTTATCACCATTGCTGCCACATAAGAAATGTTGGTATGTATGATATGTGGGCGGTGCGGTGGCACTGTAGCTAAGGATCTGTGTCTGTGGCTGTCACGGGTCAAATCCCTCGGCCACCCTCGGCCCTACTCCATTGGGCCCCTGAGTAAGGCCCTTAACCCCAATTGCTCCAGGAGCGCCGAATAAATGGCTGACCCTGCGCTCTGACCCCAAGATTCTTTTTCCCCTTCTGTGTGTCTGTGTGTCTCATGGAGAGAAAGCTGGGTTATGCGAAAATAAATTCTTAATGCAAGAAACTGTATACGGCTAATAAAGTGATCTTATCTTATGTTATCTTATCTTGGTGCCCAATGCAGCATGACGATTCTTTGTGATGCCAAACATTCCTTAGATTTACTCAGTGTAGCTTCAGTGTTTGGTTCTGCAGTGACATCTCGTGATATTTCTAACTGTGCCTTTTTCAGAGGCAAAACTATTGAGCCCGTGAGGGAATTCACAGGGCTCCTACATCTAAACATTTTAAATATAATAGTGTATCGCTTTACCACAGCTAACCACCTCTCTTGGATTATTATCTATTTAGGTCTCCAGGGCATTATACATCACAGATACCAAAAAAACACCACTTTTGCTTTTCTAGCCTTCAATCAATTAAAGGTAAAGAGGAAAAACTGTGTACTGCTTGTACCATCCCAGAGTGAATGCTCATGACTGTGCCTCATGGGTAAAGAACCCATGTTTCATTTTGAAGAAAGTGAGCATATTTATCATACCTTTTATTCCAGGATACCAACTGATGACAGATTTCTGCTAAGGGACCACATAACTCTCTATTTCTGCACATGCATTCTTTTCTTGATATCCCTGAGGTAGTTCAAAGCCATGAAATTAATCAGTTATCCCCAATGGTTGAAGACAGGAGGAATCAATTTACCTGAATGCCATCAAGCAACTTGCTCATGCACCAGAAACTGTCAGCTTCAATGTTACGCAGAGCTTCTTCAGGCAGACTGGAAACATCAAAATTTTCCACCTCTTCCTCTGTTATGAAGAAACAGAAAGGGAGACAAATCAATAAACTATAATAAATAAATTGAATATGGCCAAAAGAATAACTGGTTAAACAGAAATAAAGCAGTTAAATGTCTATCTTCTTAAGAAGGACTTCAAAACACTGTTTTATTGTGATGAAACAGAATAATACAGATTTCTTGTGTGAAAGCCTGGCACTTCAACTTCACACAGCCACAAAACATGAAAAAGCCCATGTGTGATAAAACAAAATGATAAATAAGGTTTATATTGCTTTTTATCCTGCTCTCAATCTTAAAACACACTGCCTACAATTTTTTTTAATGTCAACAACGAGTTTATATATTTTAACTACAAAATGCTGCCAACATGAAACAAGATAAGTCAGTTGAAAACAAATTCTCATTTTCAGTGACATCTCTAAAGATGTCAAAGCAGTACACAGAAAAGGATATTTCTAGTCCTTGCTCAATGTATATTTAAAACTAGGTGCTACCTTACCATGGTCATAAAATTTACCTTCAAGTAAGGAGTCTCAGCTTATTTCCTATTTCTTTATATTTATCCCTGATTTAATGCCTGGTTTTGGGATTTATATTAATCCCACAAATGGAATGACTGTGCATGTAATACAACAGATTGGCTCTTCCAAAAACATTACAATGTTAAGTTACACATTGAAATTATATAAAAAAATTAAAAAAGGAAATTTTGTTAATAAACAATGCACCTGAAAACATTTCAGCACTGAGTTTATTCTTAGCAAGTGTCAGCATCAAATTTTTAACAGTGCTTTGAAACTATATTATTACAAAACTGCTGCCTTTTGTTTTTGAACAGACTTTGCAAATTAGTTTTTTGCTGGGGACCATTTTTTTTTTGCCACTGTAGCACCTATTGTGAGGAACAGTGGATGATACGAAGAAGAAGCAAAACAAAATAGCAGTGAAATGTAAAAAAGGAGAGTCTTTCTAAACAAAGGCTCTTTGCTCATTATATATTTAAGGGTTTACTCTGACAAAAAAAGCTGAGATATCTAGTAAGATTTACTATACATTACACTGATTATGGTAAGCCTGTATTTTTTTGATAGTTGGTCTCCTTGGTAACAAAAGCTGAAACCTTGCACACAAAGATTTATTGCTGAAGCTCTCAATAATACTGTAAAAGGTATTTAGGGAGCTGAAATGTAAAGCCCAGCTCAGCAGTTATGAAGATGAGATGCTTGGGTTGCTAATTATCACTGATCTGTTTCTTTTTTTCTGATGAATGGATATCACCATTGAGCTGAGGTAAAGCTCTTTTCAAGGTAAGATGCAAAATTGTTAAAGATAGAAAAATGCCCAGGAGAAAATTGTGATTCACTCAGTAGACAACAAATATAATGTTCCCCAAAAAACATTTTGAAACACACCTGTTGTCAAAATTCTTGGATTTCTAATCTATTGTAGCATGCAATTTTATTTTTTATGTGTCATAGGATAAAAAACATTAACCTGAATATATCACAAGAGATGCTGTGATGGATTGGATCCTTTTAAGTTACAGCCTGTCTTTACAGTCTTTACAGTAACCAGAATGTATTCACCCTGCTATTCAGATCCCACTGAATCTTGATTCCTTGTAGCTGCTTTGCCCCAAGACCTGAATAACCAAAGGCAAGCTTAAATGAGAAAAAACTCATTTGACCAATCTAGTTACAGTATCTCTGAGGTGATATGCACTGTGTGTTTTCCTTATTCGGGACACTGTCAGGTCTTAGGTCTTAGCGTCCTTGAGGAAAACCCACAAAATGTGGTCATATTGTACAAAAAGAAAAAACAGACATAGCACAAGGCCTGCTTTTTATTCGACCATGCAATACCATGCAATAAACAGCACCGACCATATGAAAACATGGCATTCTTGTTAAAATGATATACTTTGACTGGAAATATACTTTGTCATGAAGAAAACAAAATACAAGGCTGATGGTCACAGCAGGCACAGTGTGTCTGTGTTAATATCTGCAAAAAAAATATTGCTTAATTCCCAATTATAATGTCTCACAGCACTGTGCCTCATTTCCCGAAGTTTCCCCCATGGAGAATGTCATCAAACTATGTGCAGATACATAAAGGAAACAAAACTGTTGCCTGTGGAAAAACTGCTGTGAAACAGAGAAGGTGACATGCTGATTGAAGACACCCCTGATACATCCAGTGTTATTAGCTGCTGTTTTTACCATCCTAGGGTATTACCTCAAACATTCTCTGGGTAAAACCAGCTGTTCCTTTAGGGGAGCTCTAACTATATGCTTTTACCACAGACAGGAGCAAAATGAATACAGTAAGTAATTAGTAGTTCTAGGTAGCAATGCCTACAAATATAGGCATGTAGATCAGGTCTAAGGTCTATGAAAAAATAATAAATAATAAACATAAAGAGCCTAAAAATATTAGAAAACTAAATATTTCATACAAGAAAAAAGACTAAATATTTGAGACAAGACTTGACAGGAAAGAAAGCATGTTATTTTCCTTTTTTTCTACTATAGATTTAATCTTACTGTTGCTTCCCTTGGCTACAACAAAATCATGTTTTTGTTAGGTACAACTTGTTCCATATTTCTTTTATTTTTTGCACAATTTAATTTTCAGCTTTAGGAAAAAGATGTAAAAGTATCACAATATCAATATAAATGTATTGTAACAAATGCATCCATAATGATTTATATCATTTTCTAAAGTGCATGTTTTTATTCAAGCATTTCAATATTTCCAGTTCTGTAACAATACAATAGAAAAATCTGAATGAGCTTTCTTTTCATATATATTAAATAAAAGCTACAATTTTATTTGTACCAAATAATTTTTAGTCAGACCGCCAATTCAGGATCTGTTCATGCTACTCAGTCTTTAGACCTTAAAATGTCATTGTTGAAAAGAGAAGAATTGCTGCAAATTATTTGATTCAATAACCGAAGGATTTGGGAATTAAATAAGTAGATTTAAATTCTATGGTAGATTTAGATTATTAAAAACAATGAGAGGTAAAATGCTTAAAGTTGATTAATAACAGGCTATACTTTAGAATTTTTACATTTAAATTCAAAAGTATAGCAAACAATTGGCTCAGAGTTGCTGGGGTGTGGTTGTGATCCCAGGTGCTTGCAGTGAAATCGGCAACCGACTTGCCTCTCCTGTTAGTAACAGTGGAGCCTGTAATGTGTCAGCAAATGAAATGCTCCATAGTTTTGCAGATTGGGGGAGACTGTTTGCACTTGTGCACTCCTTGTGTGGGTACTGAGGATGAAGACAAGCAGCAAATCCGAATTCAAAAGTGTGCAGAAACTGATTTATTATAGTACTGAATTTTATTTAAAAAAACAGTGAACCTACAGTATCTTTCTCTACCATTAGTCAATAAGTCTAGATGACTATGAGATCTATTATTATATGTCCATCTTATATAGTGCCTTTCACAATCAAAGGATCCTATAGGACTTTACAACTAGGAGGGAATTAATGTCTCCCAAGACCAAAGAGCTAGGAGATGTTTGGCAGCAATTATGCATCAGTAACCCCAATGAAAAACAAATCGGATAGCGAAGCGAGTCATTGCTTCAATGGTTGCATTAACTAGGGCCTTTGGAAAGGCTAGATTATACAAATCCAAACTGGATTTCAACCAGGGCACTACGGTAACACTCCTCCCTTAAAAAGTGCAATAAGACCTCTATTGACCAAACAGTAACTAATTTTTTGTTCCAATTTAATGTCTTACCTAAAGAATGTCTCCTTCTAAAGCACATTGTTACTATACTGGGTCACATGTTTGAAACTATCTGGTTCAAAGGAAACATCACACACAGCAGTGATCTGCAATAATAAGTTGACTTCAGGAGACAAGGAAAAGTCCACTCCGCCATCTACATTGAAGGGTCTGCAGTGGAGATGGTGAATAACTTTAAATTCCTAGGTGTTCACATCTCTAAGGACCTTACATGGACACTCAACACCTCCAGTCTCATCAAGTAGGCACAACAGCAGCTGTACTTCCTGAGAAGGCTGAAGAAAATACGCCTGCATCCACAGATCCTCACCAACTTCTACAGATGTACGGTGGAGAGCATACTGACCAGCTGCATCACAGTCTGGTACAACAACTGCACCGCATCTGACCGTAAGGCACTGCAGCAGGTGGTCAAAACTGCCCAACACATCATCGGCAGTGCCTTACCATCCATCCAAGAAATCTACAACACCAGAAGTCTGAAAAAAGCCACCAAAATTATGTCTGACACCACTCATAACTTGTTTGTCCCCTACCATCTGGCAGAAGGTTCTGAACACTCCAGTCGCACACAACTAGACTCCAAAATAGCTTCTTCCCCAGAGCCATCAAGCTGGTGACGCCCCCACTCCCTCCCATCATACTATAATCTCTCCTAACTTCTTCCTGTACCTACACTGACTGTACACCAACACCACTACATACACAACAACTGAATGTAAGCCAAACTTCTACTTAAAGCTGTATTAGTTGTAATATTTATTAAAAACGGTACTATTTTTGCACTGTTCCCTAAATTACTTTGCACTGTTTTGTCCTGTTGTATTATTTTCTCTGTTTGCGTATTTGCACAGTTTTGATTACGTTATGTTATTACACTGTTATTGATAGTGTTACTGTCTATTGTCTTATCTTCTGTTCTATTTATAAACTGCACCTCAGTGACTAATGAGAAACAATTTTCACTATACTATGCACCTGTGTAAGTATAATGACAAATAAAGTTGAATTTAATTAATGTTTCAAAATATCTGAAAACCATCCAAAAACAAGTAAGAAGATAATTAAAATGGCAAAATCGCATTTAAGAAAAAACTAAAATATTTCTTTATAAAATGTGGATGATTCTCGTTTTTAAAACATTAATGTAATCCCAGCAGGATAGGAAAAAAATCAGGTGCCTGCTGATAGTGTAAACTGTAGTCTAGGTGTTAAAAAGAACACTTCACATACTT